ACGTCGGTGCGAGAGTCACGGCAGAATATTTTAGCAACCGCACACTGAAATTCCCTCATCGCCAATGCTAAACTATCACACGGCTCTTCACGCCATCCGAGTCCTTCTCTTCTGCTGGGGAAATTGAAAGAGAGTTTGCACGGCTGTGATCTTGCTTCTCCAAGAAGAGACTGGGGATTCTGGAGCAGCGCCGAGGAAAATCAGCTCGGAGCCTACGGAGTTTTTCTGTGCCGACGTTGGGATCAGCACAAGAGCGCTTCCATTTCACGCCTGGATGGGCAACACAGAGCTGGGCATATCCAGAGAGACGGCGGGGTTGCCCCCACCCCGACCCCCACATTCACCAAAAGGAGAGTGAAAAGGATGGACTGGCGTGATCCCAGACAAAACCTGCTAGGCCCCAAAGCCCAAGCTTTCGCCGTCTCCTGAAGCCCTCAGAGATGGCTGGCCTTCCACCGTGCCCTCGTGGCCACAGGAACCCGCCTCGAGATCAAGTGCAGCCAGAGATACTTGCTCAGAACAGGTATGAAAGAGGACAGGTCTTTTGCTTCTTCTGTTCAGACTGGACTGTCCATGGATGGGATGAAGAAGATCTAGGTAAATTCTGCCTTAACCCAAGTGGAGGCCTTCATTCAGGTTTTTCCCTTCTGGGCTATTCTACCCTGAAAAAAGCAACCATGCCAGGCTAAGAATCTTTTCCCATTATTGGCCTAACTCCAGAGCCTGAAGGACTTCCCTGGATGAGAGCGCAGCCTCTGAAACCGCACGGCTCAGCACTCGCCTTCCACAGCATCGCTCCGCCATCACGGGACACGGGCCAAAATGGCCCCGGAGTAGTTACAGCAGCTTTCCGCCACATCAGAGACCGTCTTGTGCCATTCTGCTTCCTCCCTGACTGTCAGAGCCATCCAGGCAGAGGTCTTGTTTTTGGGGGGAAATCCAGTGAAAAAGTGGAGTGTAACGTTGTGATGTGGATTTTGAATATGTTAGAACAAAAACGTGGTTTAAAAGAAGACCGAAGTGAGATCTGGAGTTTGCTTGTGAACAGGTCCACCTTTTCATTAAGGATGGACGTCTCTGGCCTTCTTGGAAGGCCAGGATCCCTTCTTGCTGATGCCAGAGTGTCGGACACGGAATAATCCATTCAAGTTGCGGCAACCCAGATTCAGGCTGGACATCAGGAGAAGCTTCCTCACCGTCAGAGCAACACGACAGTGGGACCGGCTGCCCGGAGAGGTGGGGGGCTCTCCCACACTGGAGGCCTTCAAGCAGAAACCAGGAAGCCCTCTGAGTGGGGTGGTGGAACGTGGTGGGCATGTCATGAGCAGAGTCAGCTGGAGCAGAGGTGGGACTCTGTGGGACGGCAAGAACAGCCGAGAAAAAGCAGGGGGCTTGGGATGGCTCTGGGACTGAGGACTCTGCCCAAGGGGTGCTGGTGCGCCAAGGACTCAGTCTCCAGAGGTGGCGAGCTGTCAAGAGACGGGTCTCTGGAGTGCCCACGCCGATACTTCCAGGGAACAAGTCCGTGGCTGCGCCCCTTTCCTTCTCCTTGCCCCTCAAGACCCCCGAAGAGCAGAGTCTGGCTTAAGCAGTTCGCAGATCTAGCCTGCCAAACAACGCCCCTGCCTCCTTCTGCGCAGCCAGCCCACGGCCAGAAAATCCTAAAGTCGTTGCAAGAGGAGGTAAGGGTTTCCCTGCGCCCGGAGAGTAATATTTATCCATTATCCTGAGGTAATGTTAGAACAGGGCTAAAAATAAACACTGGATCTTGCTATTAGGCCTCGGCAAAACAGCAATTAAATTCATCAAGAAAAGAGCACCGTGTGTTTGGAAGTACTTGGACTAGCTCATCCCTTGCTCTGAGATTTCGGCGTTCGTCTCAGCCGGGGGAAGAGCTCAGCTGAATTCAGAATGAACAGAATTCAGAACCGCCCGCTAAGAAGTACACCTTTTACACGGGCACCCTGCTCTTCCATACCCGTGAAAGACCGAATCGACAAGGACTAACCATCATTTGGACGTTTCACCGAAAGCGTTTTCTGCAAAACTTTTACCTAAAGCAAGAGTTCTGGCTTGCACTGATCATATTCAGTCTCTTGCTCCCCTTTAGGCTTGGCCTGTGTACAAACATGCCCCCAAACTCAGTTTGGCTTTAAATGCAAAGATGCTTGTTGCAGAAATCAGAACTCTCTTTTAAAAATTAAAATCTTATTAGGGTACCATCCATATCCTCAGTGAGGCAGGTGTGACAATTTGGTACTGGCCAAGCTCACCTTGGCTATGCCTTCAGATAGGCCTATGGCTTCCTTAATCCAAAAATGTCTTCCCAGTATGTCTAGAGCAACGAACAAGAATTAATTTTTTAAAACCCCTAAATCTTATCATATAAGCACGCTCTCCATAAAATCAGCGACATATCACTTCTTCCAAAGTATCGGCGCTTCTGCTCCCAGGGGCTGCTTGGAGATTGGGCTGAAGCGAATGATGCAAAACAAGAACAAAAATACGGGAATTAAGGCTCTCTCTCTCTCTCTCTCGCCGCTCTCCGGATGCTTTGCCAAAGAATGTTACCCTGACAACTCCAGCTGCTGAATCTGAAGGGCCTCCCGGCGCCCCGGCAACAGCCACGCGACGTGCTCACACGCCGGCCCACTCCGTGCACGATCCGAACGCCACGTCCCTCTCACTGGAAGAGCAGGTCCCGAGCAAGCGGCTGCAGACCCTGTTTGTGCTGCGGCGCAGGCCGGCGCGTCCCCCCACGCCCCCTGCCCTCGGAGGGGGACCGGTGGCCCTGCCCACAAGCCCCCCTTGCTCCTTGCAAAGCAGCACGAGGTGCACTAGGTCTGGACGGACCGAGGGGGTCCCGGGAGCCCCTCGGACACAGTCACGCAAGGGGCCCACGCCCATCCCTTGCACGGGGCCCCGGGACCCCCTCGGAACAGAGGCAGGTGGGAAAGGACACTGCAGCCAGGCCGGTGCCGAGTCGAGCCGTCGGCCTGTTGGGCTCAGCACCCCCTGCTCCGCCAGCAGTGGCTCTCTGGGCAAGAACAAAAACAGAGCGAGTCAGGAGGGGCCTCCCGGGCCACCTAGTCTGGCCCCGGCTCCAGCCGGCTCCGCTCACGACATGCCCACCCTGTTCCTTGGACACCCTCCCCGCTGGGCGAGGGTTCCTGCAGCCAGGCTGGAGCAAGCAGGATGGGGAGCCGGGAGGAACGGAGGGGAGATGTCCACGGCAAGCTCGGGGACAGGAGAGGCTGCCTGCAGCTGCGCGGGAGGGAAAGGGCGTGTGGGAAAGGGCGTCCCCAAGTGGGGAGGGCTGCTGGGGCGGGCGGGCATCCCACAGGTGCCCGACTGCACATGCTGGGCCTTATCGCCACACTTCCTGCGGCACGACTCCTGATGCTATCCCGCCCGGGCCGGTTTTTAGAAAAGCGCAGGCTTGGCTCCAAGCACGAACGCCGGCCTCCGCTGGGGAGAGACGCGATGCGGCGCTGCCGGCCCTGGCCACTAGGTGTCGCTCCAGGCAAGCGCATGGCCCCGCTGCCAGCCCGGGCCCGCCGGCCGGCTGCTTCCTCCGGCAGCATGCGATCCAGCTATAAATATTTAAAATGCCACAATATTAAGCAATTAAAATGCCTATTTGTGAGGAAGAATGCCTGAAAGATCTTTTTAACCTTTAGCATTTCATGGTTTAAAAAGCAAAATGCGCAAAGTTGTATTTACAGAGTGGCATTTGCTTAACTCGCCGGCTAACACGAGGCAGAAAAACAGCTTCGGTTTCATTTTCGGACAGCCTGGCCGCTGCTGTCGGCTGAGGCCACCCCAAGAACATGGGACTCTGAGCACAGCCAGAGTGCTCTCCCCCCCCCCCCCACCTCCACACCTGAGATTCAGGAATTAGGAGCTGAGGAAGAGGTCTGAGTCCCTCCACGGTCGCAGGCTAACCCCCATCAGAAGGGACTTCTTGGAGGCAAAGGTTGCTCAGCTCCAGCACAGCCTCCAAACCCACCGGCTCTCCCATCAGAGCCTCCAGGATGCCCGCATCTGCATGTTACTCCGCAGAGCCACTGCAGCTGGCTGCGCTCCACCAGCCTCGAGCTGCGGGGGCCCCGGTCCCCCCCAGGCACCAGGGAGGCTCTGGAGAGATTGTGGGCAGCTCCCATGGAAGGAAGAGGCCCACTGCCGCCTGCCACGGCGCGCGCCCGGCCAGCCCAGTGCGCCGGGAGATCTCATTTACATGGCTGGGAATTAAAGCTACAGCTGGGACTTGAGATGCATAATGCTCACACCTGACATTTTAATGAGCCACACAGAAACACACACACACTCTCTCTCACACACACACACACACACACACACACGCATCTGCTCTTATATTCAGTGTCAGAGGTATACCCCGCACTACACGGGAAGAAAATAAACCCACAATGTCTTGCTGATTCAACAGCATTTTATGCGAGCAATTAAGAGAGGCGGCGAGAGCGACACATGCTCCCGGGAGGAGCTGGAGAAACGGTTCCCTGTGCGTGGGGGTCAGGAGCACAATCATGCGCTGCATGCCAAGGATGACCCTCAGGGGCACGCCAGCCCCTGCTCTGTCCCCGGCACCGGGGAAGGGGGACAGACCCTCTGCGAGATCCGGGTGGACCCGGCCATTTTGCAGGCCTCCCACACGCGGCTTGATACGTGCAGCAAAGCCCCCCACACACGGCTCGTCGGCTCTGGCATCTCCCACCTGCTCCGTTATGCACATCATGGTTCACCGTCCTTCCTCCCACCAGCTCTTTCGGAGAAGCGCATTTGCCGAGTGCTCCCCCCGCCTCTCTCCTGCGGTCCCCAATACGTGTGGTCCGAACTGAGCTACAACTCCGGCCGCACGCCGCTCGCACACCCAGGGACGAGCTGCGGCTTCCCCACAGTGACACCAAGTGGCCGAAGCGCAATATTACAGCCATAAACAAAACAGACGCACCCTGTCCAAACAGTGGCGGGCTACTTACGGGCTCGATCTTGAGCGCACTTCTGTAGCTCCCAAAAAAGGCAGCCTGGGCCTTCAGGAACGCTCTCGCCACTCCGTCGCCCGTGGTCATGGAGACTTTTTTTAGCCTGCCCTTCAGCGCAGAGACCTGGAAGCATGCAAGGAGAAGAAGGTGATTTCGAGGAACACGAGGCCGGAGATGTCACGCCCCTGGAAAGTGGCTAAGCGAGTTTATGGGAAAGCTGAGTTTCTGGGGGGCAGGAAAGGGGGGATGTTTCTCAGGTGAGTCCTCTGCATGACCAGCAAGAATTATTTGTAACACTTGGCCTGTCTCTGCAACCTGAAAGAAGAACAGCAGAATTTTGCTTGTGAGCCGTCCTGAGATGCCACACATAGAGGATGGCATATAAAAGTTTTAAATATATAAATAATGACAACAGCAGCAGTGACGGCTGGTAACTCCGAACAAGAATAGTTTCGTAGCTGGCTCTACTGCTCCCGCCGGCCTGCGTCTTAAGAGGTCACGGGAAGAAAGAAGCACGGAAGCAACACCCGCTCGCCGGTCCCGTCAGGGCGGGTCCATCCCCGGCCTAAGCCCCCATCACCTGCGTTATCCCCACCGGTTTGCTTTGCCAGGTAAAGCCGAGCCTTTACTGTCGTCAGTTGAATCAAAGCTCAGGAATTACCCTTCCGAAAGGGAACCCCCGGAGAGACTTCTAAGAAGGGGAGGGACGAGGGGGGCATCCGTACCGGAGGGCAGGTGGCTGTGGCCCTAAACACAATTGCTAGGGAGCAAGCCCTGCAGCGCATGATGGGCTTTGCCTCCAAGCAAATAAACTTCCGGCCGCGCTGGTTGTCCAGGAAGGACGTTACTTGCCTTTGACTCTTTGGGACGCCACGTCAGGATTGTAACTCAGCATCGCTCATTTCACGTTCCTCATTATCACTGCTATTATTATCGGTGGATTTTTTAGGAGAATTTTAGAAAACTGGGGGCCAGAGCTTGTAAGGAGAAGGGATAAGAACACTTAAAAGAAGCAAGTGAATCTATTTTAGGAAGGGAGGTGTCTGCCTGGGCGCGGAAAGTGTTCTGTAAGCTGCAACTCGCTTATCCTCCTAACAGCCCTGGAAGGCGGGATAGGCTGGGGCCACAGAGACGTGTCCAAGGCAGGAGGCCTTCCTCAGAGCCCAGGAAAAGAGAGCAAGCGCTGCAGGAACCTTGCATACTCCAGCAGCACCGGCCTGGGTGCCAGGAAGACTTTGGGGCTCACGTCCTCGGTCGCCTCCCCACCGGGCATCTCCCAAGTGCGGCCACGCGTCCTCGGGGGGAGAGTTTCGTCGAAAGAAGGGGCGGGTAGCGCAGCGCACCCCAAAAGGCCAAGCCGCTGGCGACGGCGGCGCCTCCATCCTCGGAAGCGGCTCTTCCCCCTCCGCTCCTCGCCACCTGTGCATCCGATTATTCCGCACTTAACCTTCACTGCCCTTTTCCCTTTCATCCCGGAGGTGTTTAATTGCCTCCGATTCACAGAGCCGCACTTCAGGTGAAGGCAGACCTAAGTGTCTCATTACCATTTACACAAAGAAGTACTCCAGGATGGTAACTGAGCAAATATCAACTCTCACACACCTTCCTACGCTGACAAATTCTCAAAACTAACGGAAGCCGTTCGAGGTTACCTGCCTCGCGTGCCTTTGGTCTTCCAGGCTCCCGCCGGGGGGCCCCGCTCACTCATTACCGTGTTCTCTGCTCCAGATAAAACCGCCCGGCTTTTTGATGCCTTTTTTGCTACCTCCTTTAGAGGCCTGCATAATGGGCTGGCGCATTTCCCCGTTCCAGGAAGACTGAGGGAAGGCAAAACCTGGACGACTCACAGTGGCCCTTTCGGGGCCGCAGCCGTTTGGGGTCCCCCCTCGCCGGCAGTCTCGCTTTGCAAGGGGCCCTGCATGGAAAGACACGGGTTTTGGCCCCTGGAGGCCTCACACGCCTTACTGGCGGGCATGGCGTGAGTGGAGCTGGCTGGAGCTGGAGGTCAGACTGGATGGCCCGGGAGGCCCCTTCGGCCTCGCTCTGCTTCTCTGCTTCTATTGTCCTGCCGTTAGAGGAAGTGTTTTCTGTGCTATCACAGGACTGGGCTTCCTCCACACTGGGGTTGCCTGGCTCCGGGGGGGGGTGCAGTGGCTAAAGCGGGGGACAGGGATGCAGGCGATCTGGATCCAAGCCCCCACGTGGCACGGAGCAGACTGGGTGACTTTGGCCCAGTCCCAGACTCTCAGCCGAGCCTACCTCGCAGGGCTGTTGTTGCCAGGAGAAGGCGGACAGGAGGAGGAGGAGGAGGAGGATGCAAGGAAAAAAGGAGGGATATCAACACAGTAATATATAAGCAGGCTCTGGAGGTGCTGCCATCCAGGAGGCACGCCGGGAATTGATGCACGGCCGGTGGCGACAACTCGGCTGCATCCCCGCGGAGTATCTGCTTCTCTCTGCTTACCCACTTTCTTAGATCTGTTGCACATTATTGCTTCAATATTGCGAGCTACGTTGTGTTGCTTTGATATTGTTACCATGCTCTGGGTTTTTTTTTAATGAACCGTGGGATATAAACAGAAAGAACGAAGTAAATAAACACATCCAGCAAACTGCAGCCATTCAGGGATTCTGCAACAGCCAAGAAGGCTGTGGCGCCATGCTCAGAAGCACTCTTTGCTTCACGGCTGCGCGACACCTTTCACGATTCTGGGTGCAGGACCTGGCCAAAATCCGAACCAGCTCGGAAGCTGCAAGGCAGCTGCCAAAAGCCCGTTTCGAGCACAAGCCAGAACGGCACACAGAACTTTGCTGTTCCGCTCAAGAGGAAGCAGAAGATTCTCCCCGTTCGGATAGTGGCTGTTTTTACGGAGGCAGCCTCACAAACACACAGCCAATCCTGGAAGTGTTTTTAAAGACGATTTTTATACTCTTGGCAGCTCAGGATTAAAGGTCAGATTTAAGCTATCACCATGTTTCGAAATGCAATCTGTGCAGTGTAGCATAATGAAATGGTTCAGTAGAGGTGCGAGCAGAAATTCTTTTAATTAGATCCAAGGCTTTCTAGTTGTCAACATGAATAAAGCACAGAAAACACTTTCTCCTGCAAAACACCATCTCAGAAAGAAGGAGGAAAGCTTTCAATGCAAGCTACCTTGGAAAAGGTACCGGGGAAATTGCAATCAAGAAAATGCAAACTTTGAGCTCATGTGACCCACTCAGCAAGTTTAAATGCTTGTGACGTGCAAAAGCAAACAGCTGCGTATGCACCATTTCCTCTTCCGAAGAAAAAGCAAACCAACCAGAGAGAAGGGCTGTCTTTCTGACAGAATGAAATTATCGCAAGCCAATTAGCCCGTTCGGAAAGTTTGAGCCCCAAACAACATTTTGATGTGGCCAGACAGTACCCTCTGAAAGAGACTGGCAGCGAGTGGCTCCCGTCTACCGAGGCATCGCCAACTCTTGCTCTCATTTTCCAAAAGGAAGACTGCCTCAAGTTCCAGGGGACGGGCAATGAGCATGTCTGAATGCAGCCCTGCAAAGGACTGTGAATGCCTCTTAGTTACTCGTGCAAATTTTCATGAACAGAGAGAAAAAGAACTAGCTGGGGTGGTTTTTATCAGAGGTTTGGTACATGACACCTGGAGTCAGGGTCTTTTCGGTCAGGGCATCGCAGCTGCCCGAGTGGCAGAGGCTTTTTGGTGGTGGTGCTGATTTTCGAACATGCTCCCCAGGGAGGCTCGCCCGGCGCTGTCACTGTATTCTTTTCAGCAACAGGCAAAACCCTTTTTATTTTCCCAATATTTTAACTCTGAATTGGTTTTATCTTTGATTTTATCCTTAATGGACGGATGGAGGCGTGTTGCTGGTACGCTGTTGTCTTGCGTTTTGCTTGCCGTCCAGAGACTCTGGTATTGGACGGCATATAAAAACTTTAAATAAGCAAACAAACAGAAATGGCGTGCGGCCTTCTCTCCTCAGAGATGCTCGCCTGGTGCTTGATTCATCCTCTTTTAGGCAGAAGGCGAACTTTCTGCTCTCCTGAGCTTTCAGGGGTCAGTATTTTAAGAATGCTTCTCTCCAGTGCTGGATTGCTGATTACTGTGCTTACGAATAGGGTTTATTCCCTTACGCAGGTTGAGTTCTGGCTTTAATTTTTGTCCTTGGCCACTGCAAGTGTCTTACGGAAAAGCGGGATAAAAACACCCCGATCTAATACCCTTCGCAGGCTGCCCTCCCTCATGCCGAAGGCCTCAAAAATGTTGGCACACGACAAGCTCTCCTTTGCTTGGGAAGAAACGAGCACGGGGGGGACTAGCTGAGAAGGCAAGCGCTCCGTGCTTTTCCTGACATCTGCAGACAAGCTTGTCCTGTTCTCGACCGGTAGTAATAAGCGAATTATCTGAACCCTGCGGATAGAGAGAGCAGACAGACTCTGCAGCATCCACGCTCAGGGAGGAGGGTGGCAGGGACGTTGAGAACGGACGCAAGGGAAGCCGTGCCGGGTCCGGGGGACGGCTCGGCCGTCCACCCGCTGTTGACCCAGCGGCAAGCGGGGGTCCAAGACCTTCGCCTGCCCGGCTCTGCAGCCACAGGCGAGGAGCCACAGACAGTCTTCTCCTGGTTTGCTCTCCTCCCTCGGGGAAGAGCATGGCTCCTTGCGTGGTGGAGAAGACTCGCAGCTAGACCCGGCCAGGGAAAATGGCGCAGGAGATGAGGCAGCTCCACCAGCAGGACTTCGCTCTGTCCTGGCCTGGCGGCTCCTGGGCGAGAGCATCCGCGGGGTGAATCCAACAGCGAGGGGGGAATACTAACGAGGGTCCCAGTAAGATGCAGGGACCGAACTGTTCAAACCGGGAGGACAGGTGGAACGGCTCCCCCTCCGTCGCGTTTTGGGGGGTAACCAGAAACGATGGCCGTGTTAGTGGCAGGGGGACAGCGGATGGTTCGACCCACAGCAGGAACCCGTGACCTGCGCTGAGCTCCGAAGGCATGAAGCCTGGAAAAAGCCGGCAAGAACCCAGTCACAACGAGAAGCGGGGCCAGTGCTCAAAGCCGTAGCATGAAGCAGAGGTGAAACTTCTCCTACACGGGTACCAAAAGAAAGAGGATTTAGAAGAGGATGTGGCGGAAGGCATTAATTCCTCCAAGCAGGAGGATACTGCTAAAAGCTTTTTTAGACAGTATTAAACCCAGCTGCATTTAAGTAACACCTCAGGGGAGGGGGGAGGGGAATACCCAAAACGGAGTATTTTATTGTGCGCCAAACTGGTTAATTAAATTTGCTGGCAGCACGTCCTTTGTGAGGCTCCACATACGCACTCCTCGTCCTCTTCCTCCCTGCACAAGCAGAATAATTATAATAAATACTGATAATCAGTCACAAGAACAAATGATATTTTTAAAAGAATAGCCTTTAAGCAGAAGTTTTAATTGGCAAGACACAGCTCTCTTTTGTTATAAAAAGAAATAATGACCGGAAGGAAGTCTCTTTAAAGTTTATGGCATGCCAAGCCTTTCAGCTTGGGGTTAATCTGGCCACGTCCCGTCAGATGTCCCCCGGTGCTATTCACAAAGGTGGTAAAATCAAATATTATCCTTGATTATCAGCCAGAAATGCCTGCTGCCCGTGGGTTGTGGGGTTCCCCGTATCCTCCCCTCGCTGCGCCATTCCGTGAATTTTGCAGGCTGTGCGAAATCACGCAGGGGAGGGAAAGGAAAGGGTCGTTCAAGCTGGCATTGGGCTTGAGGACGCTGCAGAAATCGGTCTGGCCGCTGGGCAAAGTGTTCTGGTGGAGCAGGAGGCAAACGGAACGACGCCTGCCGTTCGTTCTCCGACTGACCTTCCAGCCACGGTGCCGCTGGCCCCTCCAGCGTGATCCACGGCCAAGAGGTACCTTCAGATGCCTGCACAGTCGAGCTGGGAGCCTTGGCAAAAGCCCGGGAGGCACGACGCTGGTTACCAAGAGCTAAGATGGGGGAAGAGGGTCTAGCCGCAGCTGGAACTGTTGCCAGGATGCGTCCTTTGGTCCACAGTACAGACAGGGGGCTCCTAGCAGTGACTCCTTCCCCATCGCGACCTTCTTGTTCACCCGCTTCTCGCGGGCGGATGAGGGTGGAAAGAGCCAGTGTGGCTTTGTGGTGAAGAGCACGGGACTGGGACTCAGGCGATCCGGGTTCGAGTCCCCGCTCAGCCATGGAGCCAACTGGGTGACTTGGGGCCAGTCACAGACTCTCAGTCCAACCCACCTCACAGGGTGGTTGTTGTGGGGATAAGACGGAGGAGGAGGAGGATGTAAGCTGCCTTGAGCCCTTTGTAGGAAAAAGGCGGGACATAAATCCAAAAATAAATAAAATAAAAAGGAAGCCCAGCTGGTCTCACGGCTTCCCTCTTCCAGGCTCCTGCCCCTGGCAAGCAAGCAAGCAGTAGCCATGAGGAAGAGGAGGGTGAGGATGAGGAGCAAGAACGGCCATCAAGAAGGGTGGCCAGAAGGCTGAGGAAGGAGCCCTGTGGAGGGTGTCCCGGCTGAGCGTCCTCCATACTCTGGAGCCCGCACTGCCGCTGGAACATGGGCAAGAAGACGCTGTTAATTTAATTTAATTTAATTTAATTTAATAATGTAATGTAATGTAATGTAATGTTTAATTTTAGCGTTAGGGTTTTAATATTTTTTAAAAATTAAAATTAATAAATTAAAATTAAATTAAAGAAGGCTCAGTTTAAAACACCGCCCAAAGCTCAGCTGAGCAGAAGGAGGCTTTGGCTAGGAAGCCCCCTGCTCCCCCGCAGGTGAGAACGCCCATAACGCCTGTGCTACCAAGGTGCCGCCTGCGGCATTCGCATGTGCCGGAAACAGACGGAGCTGGACGGGTCCCTCTCACTGCGCCTCTGAGAGCCCCTGGCCACGGGCAGCACACTGTCCTACATTGCACGGGAGCAGGTGAAGAACTCTGCAGGAACCATCAAAAACGCAGTGTAGACACAGGCCCCGCTGCCCAGCTCTGAAAAACGAGAACGCGCGGATCAGTGCTGCAGCGTCGCTTGCGTCCTTCAACCGAGCCACGATGCAGCTTTGGCCAAGACGAGCGACACTCTCGGCTCCGGCACCAGATTTTAGGAGGATGTCTCCTCTGCACGGAAGGATCGGTGCCCAGTCATCGCAACGGCAGACACCTCCGGGCCTCCAAGCCACAGTGAAAACGGAGCCCGCAGAGAAAAGCCACGCGGTTGTGAACACGGCCAGCGAGACGGAGCAGCGAATGCACTTACCACGTCGTTTGGAAGGCTCTGGAGATCATCGAAAGGTGTTTCCAGTGTGTTCGTGTCAACATTGAGGATGACCACGTCCTCCAGGGCCATGTTTCTAACTTTCTGAAAATGATGAAGTTGGGAGGAGAGAGACATGTTATCACCGAAGCCGAAAACATACCGGACTAGGCACCCCATCCAAGCGTTATTTAGCTCTGCCACCAGTTCCTTTATTTCTGAGATGCATCTCCTGCCTTTTCCTTTTTTAAAGAACTCGAGGCAGCTTACGGCTGGATCCCTCTCCCCCGACTGCTCTGGCCCGTCACTCGGTCCTTCTTGACCCCTGCAGACACAGAGCTGTTCCCAAGCATCTTGCAACAGCGGCTTTCTTGGCGTCAAGGTCAGGCCGGCACTGCTTGCCATGAGGGGCCAAGCCCTGCCCCCGAAAATACTGCTATCTGCAGGACCAGCCACCGAAGGCTGAGCTGCTCCCTACAGCCTTCAGAAAGGGGGCGCGGGAGAAACATGCGCCCCGAAGGCCTCTTCTTGCCCAAACATGCTCAGCTGAGGAACTCCAGAATCCAAGATCTGATCTCCCCACACTTCCACAAACCGAAACTTTAACAGAAGCACAAATGCAGCATCCAAGAGTCAACCGTTTTCAGCCACGCTTTTGTCACAAGGATGACTAACCGGGCACGGCTTTAGCGCCGGGAAAAGGGTTCGAGTCTGCGCTTTGAAGAAGACAGTGCTCCCTACTGTCTTGTTCACCACCCCGTTATTTTGCAGGAGAGGGTCTGAATCTTGCAAAACCGATCAATACACGCACACCGAGCATCGCCCTGAATGTGAGATGGAGGGCTTGCGGGTAGTTTGTGGGCCGGGCTGTCGGTGCCCACAGATCAGGGCCGTGATGCAGGTAAACACATATCGGCCAGTGGCCAGGAAGGGGCGGGGAGAGAGCAGCGGAGTGGATGCCCCGTTTTATTATTCCACGGCCCGACGTGGCACCTAAGCGACTTTAATGAAAATCGCCCCCAGATTTACAATCTGAAAGCGCCACTCCACAGGCCGGGACGGTTAAGCTGCGGGTGCTCTTTGACCCCCGAACCCTTTGATCCACACCCGGCAGGTGGCCTCTGACCTGCCCCATGCGTCCTCCCCGCTTCCGCCAGCCAGCTGACCTTGATGTGCAACCCGCCCCCCCCCCCATCCTACACAGGTGATGCCCAAAATCCTTACAGCCGGCAGTCGCTGCTCGTGCGTGGAGTGACAGCCGGCCAGCTTTGGCAGGGCAGGGCTCCGAGGCGAGGCGGAAAAGCAGGGACGAGGGGGCCGCTGGCCAGGACTGCTTCCTGCCAGCCTTGTCCACCCAGAAGCCCCCAGGACACCAAGCGCCCGCTCTCCTCCACGGCTCTCGTACATCAAGCCATGTTATCCTAGCTGCGTTTTCAGCAGAACCGTCCTCGGGTCGTATCGGCTCCCGTGACCCCGTCAGACGCCTGCTCACACGGGGCCTGACCTTCGGGACGATTTCCGAGCCCTGCCCCGCAGTGACGGAGATCCTTCCTCCTCGGCAAGCTGCTTTCCTGGTGGGCAGGCTGGGTCAGCGGGAGGCACGGACACGGACACGGGACGGGCACAACGGCTGTTCCGTGAGATTCCGGCAGTATCAGCCGGGCTTGGCTGGGACTCTGGAGCAGCGTCTCCATCAGAGCCAGGGAAAGCGCGCCGGCCGGGAAGAACCACAACCCCAGGTAGAAGGGCGCAGCCTTGGCTGTATAGCTGGTAATTATCAGATTATCTTATCTGCTGGCAATTTATCAGTGCTATTGTCCCCTAATATGCATTCAATTAGTGTTGCGAAGGGTGTTCCATATTCATGCTACGAAACCCAGCCTCGCTTAAGCATCGGCTTACAAACTTCGCTCTTCCTTTGAAGTTGTTTTACGGATGGCTAAGTAAGAGTCTTAGATGGAATGACTGACTAGGTGATGAAGGAAGCCCTGGAAAATAAGGACTTGTGCAAAGCTCCATGGATTCTGCTCTGGGTGGGGAGTGAGGGGGGTTGTAAATCAGAAACAGGTCCGAAAACAGAGATTACTTTATCTCACCGGAGAGAAGCCTTCCAGCCACAGCAAATTAAATGCAACAACCTACGGATACTTGGTATTTTAACCTTCAAATATCCCCTCCCTATTTGCACTAACGGGGTTAACCCCGGCGTCGGCCACAGTCGGTGCAACTCAAAGAACCTACTCTAAAGTCTACCTGCTTTCATCACAGGCAGAAATATCGACAGCAAGCGTTCTGAGCAGAAAGCAGCCAAGAAGTCCTTGCCGTGCTCTTTTTAAGAGGAAACGTGAGAGGACTGGAGCAAGTTCTGAGCAGCGTTGCAGGTAACACGGAAAGCAAAGCCGAACACAGCAAGCAGAGCGAGTCGAGTGTGGGTCAGGAGAGCACCACGCGCTGAAGCTCAAGAGCAAGCGAGAGCGGCGCAGTTTAAGATTCAGCAACAGGATGGGCAGAGACGGCAAACGGGGCGTTCCACTCCGAGGAAGAACCAGAACGCCTTTGAAAAGGAAGTGAGGATGCTAAGCAGGCTGCTGGGCTTTAGGAAAGCTCCCTAGATCCAGTCCAAATTAGATCATCGAACAGCTGGGCACCTGGCACAAGGTTTCAGCATCCCAGGAAGGGAGAGGTGTCCCCCGTCGTCACTGGTTACCTGGATACTTTTAACGGGAGAGCACCTGGACTGTACCTGGAGCAGAGACTACGTGGCGCACGTGCTCTTCACCACGAAGCCACGGCTGGACCCCGAGGGGCCCCCAACGCGGGGCATCCGGAGGGGTCCAAGGAGTACGTGTGCAAGGTAACTGGGGATGGAACCTCCCCGTGCGGAAGCGCACACATGCGCCATCTCTCTTGCGCGGGCTCCTGGGCGAAGGGCACAGGGACAAGCTCCCTGCCTCAGCCACGTCTTGCCGTTGGCGCGAGGGGATTGATGCAAAAACCCCAATCGAGGGACAATCCGCAGGCGAAGCGGCACCTGAGCGGACGCTGGAGAGAACCCCGGCACTTGCTAGCGCCGCTCTGGCCTGACTGGTGCACAGGACCCGGGGCACACGCACACGCCGAGCGAGGACGCTGGATCACCGAGAGCAGCCTGCTCACGTAGGCCCGGAAAACGACACGGCCAGCCACCCGTGGCTCTGCTGGGGAGCAAGCCAGCTAGCTAAGCAAGGCGGGGAGGATGCAGTAACCGACAGCATCTGCCAGACTCGCACACGCGGCTTGGGAAAGGCGGCTTCCGTCACTGAAAATGGAGGACGGACTCACAAAAGAGGAACTTTTGAACTTTAAGAGCGGGGGGGGGGGGCTGCGAAGCTCGCCTGGCATTTCTGCGGAAGGGACTGGGAGCATCTAGGCAAAACGCCATGCCATGCGACGCAAGGACCCCCCTTCCCCAGGGCACCTGCCTGGCCTTTGGACCCTCTCTCGCTGCGTCTGAGGCAGGCCCGAGTCCACTGACGGCTTCACGAACCGCTTTTAGGCGGACGCTGGAGCCATGAGTTCAGCTAGCAGTTTTAGTTCGTGTTTCTTCTTTTGTGCTCTTCTGCTTACATCGTCGTGGCTGCAGCGCCTCTTTATGCTTGATCTTGCTGTGTTTTAAAATACAGCAAGCCACCTGGAATGGACACCCGGCCGAGCAACGGGCAATGCAGATTGAACATCCACAAACATAACGCCCGGCCTGGACCCAGAGCAGAACCACACGGGAATGGGGTGGGAGAACTCCCACAGGGCAGAACGGGCGGCACCATGCGGTGGTGTGGAGGAACCGCTCTAATTATTATTTTTAATGTGTCACCCATGTGCGAATCAGGAGACAATCGCCCCTGCTCCAGGGGAGCCCGGCTGACCCCGGTCCTCCTGATGATGGGGCCAGTGTACACTCTCAAGGGACGCTTCCGGCCGAGCGGGCACGGTGCCCCCCCCCCCAACTGGCTCCCCGCTTTCTCTTGGGGGGACCTTGCCCGCTTGCGGTGCAAAGTAGCCCAAGCCACTGCATCGGCTCACGCTGCTCCTGGGTAGCCCACACTCCAGATGGGAATGCGGAGCAAGTGCCAAAGGGGAGGGGGCCTTTCGGGCAACAAAAGATCCGTTAGATTCCAGCCGGGAATGGAATGGAATGACCAGGACCCACACGGACCATCGTTCCTGCAGGCATGTACAAACACGGCGACTGCAGGCGAGCGCTTCGCCCGCCGGGGGAGGAACAACAGCCAAGCGTTAAAACAAGCCTCATGTTGACCATTTGAAGCTCATCGCATGGAGGAGCCCAGAAGGCCTCCAGAGCCACAAGTGGGATCGCAAGGCCAGGTTGCGTGGCCGCCAGATACCCTGGGCAGCCTGCTAGTTATCATGAAATTAAGGTGGAGCACAGGCTGGACACGAGCTGGGTGTGCGAGGGTCCCTTTTCCACCTCCGATAAATAAAGAAACGTTGGAACACGAGAAAGGGGCCCCGGGCAGCCTCCTGCACACTGACTTCCGCGGGGATCCTGCGCTCGAGACGAAAGGTGTGAGAAATCAGGTCACGGTTTAAGCTTACCTCCATCAGACTTAAGTGTATTCCTATGAGGTAGGGCATTGGGGCACTGCAACGAAACAGAAAAAAAAATAGGTTTGAGCTCATGGAAGCAGGTGGCGTGTCGGATTATTGCTGCAGAAGATCTTCCCAACAGGGTGCATGGATCGAGAAGCGGGAAAATGCGCAACGGCATGGATGTCTGCACCCAAACCCCCTGATCCCCCCCTCCCCCCGGACTCAGAGCAGCCAGGGCACAAGGACGGTGGCTGGATTGCAGGGGGTGCCAAATGAGGCGAGACGGAGGGAACTGGGTCTCTTCAGCCTGGAGGAGACTCAGGGGGGATCTGTTGGTGACGTACAGGCATGTGAGGGGGTGTCACATGGAGGTGGGCAGAGACCTGTTCTCCCCTGCAGAGGAAGGCAGGACGCGCTCCAACGGAGCAAAGCTCAGGGAGCCAAGGTTCCATTTGGATGCCAGAAAGCACTTCCTGACAGTCAGGACCCCGAGGGTGTGGAATGGGCTTCCATGGGAGGTGGTTGAGGCTCCATCGGTGCGGGTGTTCAAGGATAGGCTGGACGTCCACATGGTGGGCATGTCGTGAGCGGAGCCGGCTGGAGCTGGGGGTCAGACTAGATGGCCGGGAGGTCCCTTCTGACTTGCTCTGTTTCTTTGTTTCTGAAAGGCTTTCCCATGGGTGGGGAGCTGCGGAAGAGCCACGTGGCTGGGGAACAGGGCAGAGTCGCCTGGGTAAGCCGGGAAGGCTGGATCAGGGCCCAGGGCCTGCGAGTCCTCAGCCCTGAATTGCAGGGGGAAAGGCAGGGAGCAACAGGCAGGGCTGCGGCCTAGCCAGACCCCCCCCCCCTTGCAGGACGGAGCACGTGCTCCGGGCAGTGCAGCCAGAGGTCCATTCGCCCCGACCTGCCTCTACGGCTCCGTCCTCTTTCGTCCCAGGATATCCATTTCGTTCCCACCGAAGTTTAGCGAGCCCCGCTTGACTCAAAACGGCCCTCTCTGGAGCTCTCCTGCGATGCTCCAAAGCGCCTGCCGGAATTCCAACCGTGTGGCCGGTAGGAAGCTGACAAGCCGCCATTCGGTGCTACGAACGGCGCAGCATCTCTTTAACACCCTGGGACGCCGTCGCGCTGCCGTATCCTAACGTTTCAATGATCAGAGCGAGGCAGTACCTTTGCACACCAGACCAGTCTCGACGCAACGCTGCCGGCTATTTGTTTAGCCGCACATAACTCCGCCGTTCCCCGGGCAAGTGGCCGGCTGTGCTGCCCGCCCCCCTCCAGAAGCAGACGGGGAGCCGAATATGTTCCTAATTAAGTAGATTCGGCAACACGACAGCTTCAATGTCAAGAATGCAAAGTCTAAAACTCGGCAGGAAGTCTTAAGGCTGCAAATGTCTCATCTCATGAACCTCGGCAAGTATAATGAAAAGTGCAGGGAGAGTTCACAATTCGATAAAACCGGGCCTTCGCTGTGGCATCCAGAAGAACCGTCTGTCACAAGGGGGGCGGGGGGGGCGGGGAAGGAAAAGTCAGAACTGCAAAACTTAATTAACTGCTTTGTGTTGCTCTGTCAGTCTTCCTCCATTAATCAAGGAACGCAAGAGGGACCACAAAATATCTAATAGGAATGTCAGAGTCAAAACAGCTCGGATATTGCACATCACGACGTGGCTCAGAGGGATGTGGAGAAAATGATCGCGGCTCCATCCTACGGACCCCGGACGACAGACCCTGGGGGGGGGGGTTTGCCCTTCCTCACCCTCTTGTCCACCCACCGATGACTGCAGCACCGAGAGGTGGCCTGGAGGCGTGAATGAATTGCCGCTCAACAGGAGCCAGACACGGGACTTTCCGATCGCTTCCCATGGGACCGTTTCTGGTGGAGGGCATTCACGCATCCAGTGGTGAGTAACGAACACATGAGCAATTAAGTCATGTGCGGGAGAAAACAAGCCCTGAATTTTGAGTGGGTTCTTGGAAGGAGCAGACGTTCGTCAGAAAGCCTCACATGCCAGTGAGCAAGAAGAGAACGAGCTTTTAGGGAGAAACAATGAAGAGTCTGGGGGTACCCTAGATATTAAACTTGCAGCCTAATTAATAAGTCTTGTAGACCCTGGTCCTTGACAACGTGTGCTGCAACACACGTGCTGGTCTTTTAAATGCCATATTCTTCCCCCTGCATTGCTTTTGGAGCAATGAACCCTCTGGAGGTCCCACCAGGACTTCTGGACTCCGCAGCGGCTGGTTCCACTGGCCAACTGAGTGTCTTCAGGGCCTCCTTCTCTGCATTCTGCCAACGGGTGCTCTGGGCAACTAGAACAATGTCCAACGCGCTCATGTTTTGCAGAGAGATCTTGGGCACCCTATGCCGGAATGACAACACCTTAGACTGAAAGCTTTAAGCTGCAGATTGCTTTGAACTTCCCAGAGCGGTTCAGCTATTGATCAACATGCAACGATCATAAAAAGTCGGTATTTTTGTTTATTCAGCCAGGCTGTCTATTTAGAAAGCTTTCTCTGCTGTTTAGTGTTTATGGTGTGTTAACATTTGCACGCTTATATTACTATTTTTTTCCATTAAAAAATTCCATTAAATGGAATTCACCCCATTTTGGGGGGTGAATTCCACCCCCAAAAAACTAAAATTTAAATAAAAAGAACAGAAACATTCCCAGAAGTTAACACCGCTGATATGTAAGTATTCTTAACACCATAAACTAGGTGTCCTGCATCCTACAGAAGCTTCAACAAAGGCAGAGCGAATATTGGTGAAGAATTGCAGGTCAAAGTTTGAGAGTATGCTTTCAGCATTTATTTTGAAACTACTGCATGCCACTGTGAAGGGAGGTGGGGACAGAAGTCAACGGTGCCACACTGAAAACCACACCGTTATCCTTGACCACCCTCACCGATGGGGCCTCACCGACCTCCTGTGGAAGCCCATTCCATGTCCTCGGGGTCCTAACCATCAGGAGGCATTTCCTGGCATCCACCTCGAATCTTGGTTCCCTGAGCTTTGCTCCACCGGTACTTTGCTCCTCCACCACCGGGAAAAACAGGTCACGACCCACCTCTGCACGACACCCCCTCACATACCTGCATGCTGCCAAAAGGCCCCCTCTGAGTCTCCTCTTCTCCAGGCTGAAGAGGCCCGGCTCCCTCCGCCTCGCCTCGTACGGCATCCCCTGCAAACCGGCCCCCATCCCAGTGGCCCTTCACCGCACCGATTCGAACCTTGCGACACCCCTCTTGCAATGAGGGGCCCAGAACGGAACACGATACTCCAGCTGCGGGTGCACCAGAGTCCTACAGAGTGGCAGTGACACCTCTCTCGGCCTAGAAGCCACGCTTCTGGCTATGCATCCCAGGGTGGCGTTCGCCCTCTTGGCCGCCACGTCACACGGCCGGCTCATGTTCAGCTGCAGTCGACCAGCCCCCCGAGATCCTCTTCGCAAGTGCTGCTCTCCAGCCACTAGTCCCCTAACCCGCCCTTATCACGCCATCTGCTTCAGTTCTGGCACCTGAGGCGGCTTTCTGAAAAGCATCTCTTTGCGCCTGCTTTTCCTTCAGTCAGCTGTGTGATCTGACACAGGTCTTTCCGCTCAGGCGGAGCCTTCGAGCAGAGGCCGTAAAATCTACCGACGGCTCAGGGGTCCACGTGGCCGTGTCTGCTTTATGCTCGCTCGCACATTCTGCTGATGTTCCTTCCCCTCAGGAGGTGTGTGTGACGTCTGCAGAAGCCCCTCAAAAGGGACTAAATAAATGATGCGGAGGAAGACCCCTGCTGCCCGAGACCCTGGAAGACCGCCTGGCGGGATGGGAAGACCGCCCATTCCTGACACGCAGGAATTCCTGGCAGGTGCTGTCGCCCAGTTCTTGGTGAAGCTGCCTGCCTGGAGCCAAACTCACTCGCTCTGCCCATGTGCAGGCGCTACACAAGCACAAACACAGCTTGGGCTTCGGGTCATGGCCAACGCAGTCAGGAACAGCCGGCCTTCCACCGCCTCCCAATGAGAACACAGTAATGGGAAAATGCCGATCGCGCGCCAAAGAACGCAAGAAGCCGGGAAGCATGAATATGGATATTGTGGACTTAAAAGCAACATTTCACCCATTCATTACAGCCACATTTCTACAATTAGTTTAATTCTTTTCCTCTGGCTAACTAGAGACCTCTCTACGCACTCTCCCTAGAGGTGGGCAGCCACTAATTGGAAAACTGGCAGGTGAAATTAAGGGAGGTTTGAAGCACAAGTGCAACAGCGGGAAAATATTGTTTCTTGGGACAAAAAGTAATTTTGAAAACTGACATTACGGGGGGAATCTGTAGCCACTCAGGAGCAAACAGAGCGTGGCGAGCACCGTTCCACTCCGCACACCCGCCTCTCTTCTGCACACTGACTCTGGCGGTGAGCTTGTGTGTCGCACGCCTATGATCCACCAAAACAATGGCAGAAGTTTTGTAAAACAGGGAGGAAGCCTCGCCTTCAAGATGCCCGGGGCCTGCTTGGCCCATGCGCAAGCAAACACACACGGCGTCGGGCCGCGAACGCTGTAGCAGCACAAATGTTCTTCCGCAGCTCTGCTCTGGAAGCACGCTGCTCCTGAGCCTTTTCAGTTTTCAAAAGGACTCGGGATCTTGGAATGTCTCTCCAGGTGTAACCCTTTTAGCATACGGACGGAAACGAGGATATGGAAAGAACGGGACAAGAGCTCAGGCCAAACTACGGCCCGGCGTCATGCGGGCGAGACTGGCCGAACGCTCGAGCCTGAAGCGTAACTTCTGCCCGTCCCCAGTCGGATGCAAAGCGTGCGTTGCACCACGAGCAGGCCAGGTCTGCCGTCAGCCGGTCAGAGACGAGGAGGGGCTGGGCCACGCAGCCTGGGGAGCCAGGCACAGGATGCCACGCCGGCCGTCTTGGCTACCCCGAGGTGGGGGAGAGACAGAGGGAGAACCGATCCTGCACCCTGGAAGGGTTGGCGCACGGGCTGGAGGGCTGGACTGCGACCCGTCGGTGATCCAAGCACCTGGTCCGTCCACAGGGCCTCACGCCACCATCCGCCGGCGGAATCCACGTCGATAAAAGCTGGCGAGGTAAAGAAGCACCCAGCCTCATGGAGCCGTCAATCACTAAAATTTTCCCTCTACCATCTGCTTCTGTTTTTGCTCTTTTCTTTCTACTGTCACAGCTGCAAAGAAAACAGCCAAACACCGAATCAAGGCTCAAAATTTAAACTCAGCTCGAAGACAAAGGAGAGGAGAAAGCGCTCATTCCTGGACCGCGAGGGGCCCCTCCCCATGCCCGCTTACTCTCCGGCAAGAAGGGGCAAGACGACAGCGGAGCGGAGGTGGCCGAAGCAGGCCGCCATTTCGTGGCCAGAAGCACCTTTCCTGCATCCACGCACCGTGTCAGGAAGAGACGAAGCTATTTTGGGGGGGAATGTATTTATGGAACACAAATTAGTGCTAAATTGATTTATCCAGACAAGTATAGTTTGCGATTACTGCTCTAATTAAAGTTCACGTCAGCTGTTGTTGTGTTTGCAACAGTGCAATTAGACCCTTCCCGGTAATTACAGGGTTTCTCCAGCGATGCTTCTGGCTTGCCTGTTTGGCTCGCTCGGTTCTCGCCCTCCGTCCGCCCACCCTTCCCCTCTCCTCGGGACGGCGGGCAGTCACAACGGCCGCTCGGCCTCCCCACGGAAAGCAGCTGAGCCCCTTTCAGCAGGGCCCCGGCCTTCCGGCAGAGCCCTGGGGCCTGGTGCGGGGCACACCACAGCCCCCCAGCTCCCCACAACCAGCACCTGAAGGCAAAGTTGGCAGCGGCCAGCTTCCCTCGGCGCGTTAATTATGGCCGCGCAGGCCCATTAGGCAAGAAAAGGCACCCGCTGGTCTTGCAAATGACTAGGAACCGGCCCTGCCTGAGCAGCGAGTGACACCGAGGGTTCGTTTCTGCAGGAGATAATAGTTTTTAGATTCCTTTCAGTGTCTCTCCGACACAGAGATGTACTTAACATTTAAATCATCCGCAGAGGAACAGACCTCCTTGAAATTTACATGTTTTAGGCTCCTGGCACTTTGCGCAGAATGCCAGTTATCCCTGCTGGTTCCCTTCTCGGAAGCCGGGGAGCTGTTCTCCCCCCTCCCTTCCCCCTACCCCCTTCCCTTTTTACCAGATAATGAAATTATCCATCGGATGCCAATTCCGTGGCATTTGCAGATAATGATGGAAGCTACAGAAGCTTATTCAAGGTGATAAAGTTAAAATTTATTATCTTATTGCCTTTGCGAGGAGAGAGTGTTTCTTCTCAATGCTTCTTTTAAGAAACAGTGAGATGAAAATCTGCAGGATTTTTCCTCCGAGTGGCTTGATGTCCAGAAATCGGTCTCACCAACGAGACCAAAATCTCCGGCAGAGGTGCGAGACCCAGGATGGCTGCTCAGATGGGCACGAGGCGGCCCAAGGGAGGGCGAGCCACCTGCGAAGGGACCCCAAGCCGCGGCGGGGCCCGTGCGGTTCCATTACCGGCAGCCGGGGCAGCGCGGAGGCTGCGGCTTCACGAGACGCAGGTGCCGCGTGATCCGAACCCCGCTTGGGGCGACCGTGCCCGCACCTGCCCTCCACCGGGGCAGGGCGATGCGCTGGCGTGACAGCCCCGGAGGGTCTCGCTGGGGCTTTGCGAGTGGGCGGGGGAGAGCGGCGGGCCTGGGGCAAGGGCGCACGCACCGCCTGTCCCAGCCTCCACGGGGATCGGGACCGTGAGCGGCGGGAGCAGCACGGCAGGCTGCTTGTCGCCAGCCACGCCTGGGGCTGCGATGCCCTGCGAGCCGCCAGCGCTCGTGCGTGCCCCCCCTGGCTGGCCGTCCTGGGCCTCCGCGCACCGCTGTGGGTCGCCACCTAAGTATTCTTGCCCTTTATTTCCTCTCTACACCGCCCCACAGCCAAACCTCTCTGCGGGCTGGAAGCACAGGGCGCGCCCTTTCCATTTATATGCCCCTGTATTCAAAAGTGGGATATACACGTATTTTACAAGCTGCCAAATGCCATGTAGTGGTATCCTTACATGAAGAATCTTGTTTATTTTACTTTATTTTATTTTATTTTATTATTTTATTTATGCATTTGGAAAGCTTCTATGCTTTTATTCCAGTGGGGAATTCTTGAGGATACGAAATGCAAGAGCAGTGGGATGCGGCAGACACCCACCTGGCTGCTGGCCGGCTTCACATCCCGAAGGACCCCCCCTCCCCTCCCCGCCCCCCCATGCAGAAAAAATCCGAAATGGCATTCACGTCCCACCAGATGCCTGCCCTGCGTGCTCTCACCCCCAAAGCACCCACCAATTTTCGTGCTGCCGGGGTGGAACCGGGTGCCTATTTGTTGAACAGCACCTGCTCCCCGCAAACTTGAATCGGTTTTGCGGAGAACACACAGTAAGATACAAGATGCAGGGCCGCCCGCACCGGTTGTGAGACATGGTCCCCCGGCGGGAAGGGCAAAGCCAGCTGCCTCCTCCGTGCGGAGCAGCCGCGTCGTGGCCGAGCACCTGGACCGGGACCGGAATCGCTCTCCCCGTAATACCGCCTGCCATCGCTTCTCCACTCTATCCCGCACGGGGACGCGGCTGCTTCTCCTGCGGCTCCGACCCGCCCAGCCCCCCGCCCGAGGCCCACATGGAGCCCAGCGGGACTCCCAGCCCTGGGTTGGGCAGGGCTCTCCGGAACCAGCGGGCCCCCCTCTGCCCGCCCCGTCACCCGGCTCCCTGGCGCGAAATTAGCACGAGGCGGCACAAAGCGAACCAGAATCGAGAGAAAGGGGCGCCGCGTGAGCCCAGCGAGCAAATTGCGGGGAAGCTGCCGAGAGAAGGGGGTGCGGCACTTCAAGAGCTATTCTGAAAAATGTGGCAGGTGTTTATTGGCAAATTTTAGCTGCTGCCAAACCTAGAAGCGATATATGCTGGATAATGCAGGCCAGAGCAGGGGAGCACGAAACCTTTATTTATCCTCTGCTGAGTACAGGTATGTAACTAACCAATATTTTTGCCAATGGGATACTGCAATCGGGGCGGGGGGGCAGCGGGGGCTTCCGGCATAATCAGATTCTGCTGCGAGTAATTTTCTCTTTGAGGACTGAAGCGGCGAGCCCTTGGCACGGCTGTTCCCAGGCACACCGCAACGGCAACGATCGCCGCGACCAAGCCCCCTGGGCAGGCTCGAGCAATGCCGGTTTTGTAGGGTGGGGGAATCCGCAGCGGCCCCCTCTGAAATCGGGCTACAGGCACGCTGATCGGAGAACCCACCCAGCCGCCCACCTGTACCCTGGAGCACGTACAAACACCAGCCGGACTGACTTTGGGGGGGGGGGGTTGCTGAGGGTGGGGGCCAACAGCCCGGCAACACAGCTCAGCTCCTCCATGTGACGGTTTCGCAGTGAAGGGCCTGAGAGCAGGAGGGGCTCTGCCACCCAGACCCCGCCACTTAAGAGACATACTGACACGCGGTACACCTGCTTGCGACAGATAACGCCACAGTATTATTTTTAAGAGAGAACTGAAAACGGGCTTTAAAACCGCGGGGCTGCGGGACGGCCACGTCACTCTCAAGCCGGGGACGGCGGCCAACGGCCTTACCAGCAGTAGTCCAAGAGGTGCGGGGGCAGCACGGGGATGTACACGTGCTGCCAGAACATCGGGTAGAGCATCGCTGCGGAGCCGTGGACGCAGGCCGTCAGCTGAAAGACACGAAGAGGAGAGGGTCAGCCGGGCCAGGCCCTCCGCACACCCACCTCGCTGGCCGTCCAGCGCCAGGAGCCCCCCGGCTGCGGGAGGCCGGGCGAGCGGAGGGACCGCTGGGGCTGCGGGTGCCTTGCGGAGGCTCCGACGGGGCACGAAGGGGCGCCTGCTCAGCACAAAGCACCCCGACACGGTCGGGACAAGTTGTCGCGCGCATCCCGCAACCTGTCTCTCGTTGCCCAACCCGCCCCGAAAGGAGTTCAGCTTTACCCGAACGGCTAATACTAATTTTCTGCTATTGCAATCCAACTTTCTCCCTTTCATACTTCGTGAAAACGGTATCAATTGAGCCTCATGGGCCGTCACTGAACACAAAACACGAGCCCGCTAACAACCCTTCACAAGAGGGCACGTGGTCTTCACCGTAAGCTCAAGAGACTTCGGCAATCGAATCTCCTGCCAGGAGAAATGGGAGAGGGGCACGGGATTTAAAAGTGGGCGCAAACAGCTAATGGCCTGTACACGGAATATGTTCCTTAATTCACTGCTCTTGCCACACTCCTTTGTGGCTATAAATACCAGCTTTCTTAGTATAGTGGAAAATTAAACTATTTGAATAATAAAAGCTTATTGTTGAGTTATTCCTCAACTCTTTCAGAGGCTTCATCCACTCAGAAGAGGGTTATATCAGAATTTAACCCCAAACTAGCAGTTTCTCGGAAGACACGTTTCAGGTGGTGAAAAGAACAGAGATTGTGCTTCAGATTAATATTAAGACACCGGCAATCTCACAAAAAGCTAACACAATGCAAGGAGGTGAACAAGGAAGCCAGCAAGTCACTCTTCGGAAAGGATGAGCGTGTTCTAGCAGCAGTTCCTAAACCAGGAGGCAAATGACTGTATTTCTTTCGGGCTAAAAAGGAGGGCAGGATAACCTGAAATCATGTGCCTACTACAAAATACCTCCTCCGCGTCGGCAATTCTGCGGCGGAAGGGTTGCAAACAGAACAGCTTTTCCCTAGCATGCATTTAGAGCACAGGCCTTGTTCTGAAACGCGTGAATTGGCTTTAGTTCTACCCGTGTGACAAGCTGAAGCCTATTCAGAGTGAGGGTAATACTTCCTGCCCTCTCTCTGAATTGGTTCAAAGACAACACGTGTATTGTGTAACTAGGGTGTGGGGCAATGCAGCTGCAACAGAGGTGGAAAATACCTGAGCAAGGTGCAGCGAGAGGTTGCGGGGGGGGGGATCTTAGCTTCTCCAGAAACCCCCCCCTTTGCACGCATCCATACCTGGCGAATCAACGCAATGTTCGCACAGTCCAAACAAAGGGAGACATCCTCCAGCTACTTCTTGTGCATAGACCCACAAGCCTCTCATGTTAAGCGAAAATTATAGCTCAACTGGTTTCGAAAGCCATGAAGGGAGGAGGAAACAAGAATGGCTACTCACAGAAGAAAATGCAAGGTAACCTAGATAAGGTTTTGATTCCCATTTCTGGCAGAGGTGGAGAGGACTTCACAGGTGTGAGGTCACTGTCCTTGGATCTTGCCTTCTGTCCTCTTTGCTTACGTGAGCCCAACTTCTTAGCTGATAACAAGACCAAGTGGGGGGGACATCTCCTGCCTCAGCCAGTCTGAAAAGGACCTCTCCCCGCTTCCCTCGAGCTTTGCATTTTAATTAAAAACCCTGCACTTGAAAGAGCAATGCCCAATTAGCCAGAACCTAAATACATCTAAGAAATGTACGGCAAACAGGCTGCTGGGGAATCCCTGCCACTGGCTGGATGCCGTGAAGGGAACTTCCCGTCTTCCCTTCCAAAAGTGCGACACGGATGGTAGTGACCTCTTGCACTAGCACTGACCAGAGCGGGTGTGAGACCTCTGCCACCTTTACTCCTTACTCTGTCCCGGCCGGCAGCTTCTCAGAGCTGCCAAACTGGCACCCACTCCTTCTGTTAGGGAATGGTAAGAAGCCAGGCCTCTCGGCTCACCGGACAAACCTGACTGCATTTCCTCCAGACTTGGGGCAGCCACCGGCCTGCACAATTCTAAGTTCAGATCCTGGCGTGGACTGCCTGTTAGTTTTATGAACAGCTCAGAAAATCAAGCTGGCGAGTACCAAAGCAAACGGGAGAACCAACCTGGCCTGAGCCCCATTCCCAAAGAGCCAAACGATGACATTTGGGCCCTCCATCCCTCTGTAAACACCTCCCAGCTGCCCAAAGTTAAATTGCTGCCCAGAAAGGGCCTCTGTAATTTTAAGCAGCCTGTAAATACATGTATAAATAAATAAGGCTTATTTCTCTGGAATCTGACCTCAACAGCAGCTCAATGATTTGATTGAGCCCAGTAATCTGACAACATCGGGGAGGGTGTCCAAGGACAGGCTGGACATGCACATGGTGGGCATGTCGTGAGCGGAGCCGGCTGGAGCCGGGGGTCAGGCTAGATGGCAAGAAAGGCTTTCAAAATAACTTGGAATGAGAAAGACAGGAACTGAAGTATCCACAGACGAAGAAAGAAGCAAGCAGAAGTCTAAAATTTCCAGTGTACGTATAAAAGGGCTAACCAAAGTTTTCTGACGAAGCCTTACCCTACTCCGCTTTATAAAAAGAGTCCATAGTCAATGCAGTCAGTTTCAGACCTTGACTGTGGTCTCTCCCCTCCTGTCAACAGATGCTGGTCTCTCTTCTCTAATAACTTCAACACTGTTGATTTCCTTTTTCCAAACCAGCCCCTTTTTTCTGCTTGTCCGTAACACAGCTGCGCACCACACGAGCAAAATCCAGCCCCGGGACCATGGTGTCACTCAGAAGTCAGCTAATAGCGCCAGAAAAGCATCTTTCAGCTATTTAACTCCATGGTGTCAGGGAGAAAATATTTCATTCACCATTTGTGAAGAAAAACCAAAGCACACAAAAACAACACACCCAATCGATATCCATTTACAGAGCAACCAGAAAGGAAAAGTTCATATTTTCTTCTTCGCAGTCGTCTTAAAAAAGCACAGGCATATTGACTGCAAAAACCTCCAGATACAAATCTAAACTTTGAACTGAATCAAGGTGCAGTGCCGTGTTGTTGTTTTTTAAGTAATGATACGGGGCCATTTTTAGAGTAGATGTTTCTCGGAGAGCGCAGCCACTTTCATCTCCCAGGTACTTGATGGACCCTAAGTAGCATCAGAGCTGCATCCTTATCAAGCAAAATTGCGAAAAATGCGCTTCTTATCATCCGCCATCAGAGTTCATCAAGAGGAGGTCACAAGAAGATCCATCTGAAAGCATCGTTTATCCCTTTTTTTGCCAAAAAGAGAAATTACCTACCTATATGGTGTACGATCTTTCTATAGGGTCTGCAAAACAAGCCGTTGCTAGCGCTGCATAAATACTACACAACACCTGTACGCAAGGGAAGCACTGCGCTTCAAAGGCCACGCGGCGTCTGGGCAGCCCCCCGTGCCCGGAGAGGGTTCTGGCGAGCCCCGGGATGCTGCTGACGTCGCTGCTGGAGCACACGCAGAGCTGGGCACTGGGGCGGCCGAGCTGGGCCTGCTGCAGGCTGCCTCAGGCAGGACATTTGCTGGCGACGGCACGGACACGGAAAGGCAAGGGGCCCGGCCTCGCACCCGAGTCCCGGGGCGCAGGTAAGCGCTGCGTTCCAGTTCCCCGCATCCCACTTTCTCCCCCCCACGTTGGGCACTTCAGGGGCACCCCATGTTATCTTAACTATTATGCAAGGGAGGTTAAGCCAGGGACACCCAGGTCAAAATTGCCCCACGCTTTTATCCGGGAGAAGGAAAGCCCTGGGGGCCGGGAGCACGTTCTGCCCTCTGAGAAGACGGTCCTGGGCGCCACCGTACGAGCGGTGCTGTGCAGATGGAAGCCGGCCCTCGCCGAAGCTCGCCGAAGCTCTCCGATGGCTTGGAGGCGCTCACGGGAAAAGGGTCGTGAAGCAGCTGGGCGCCCGCGTTTGCCTCGATGCGAGCCCAGCTGCCGGGGAGCAGGGCCGGCCTTCCCCCACACCTTCCACGGTAGGGGACTGGCTCCGGTGGGCACGGCGAGGGGCCCGGAGCCACCCTGCCGCCCCGGCCCGCCTCTGCTCCAGCCCCGGCCTCCCTGGCGGCCGCCTCCACCCAGGGCGCTTCCTCTGCAGGGCCCCGGAGCGGCTGCGCCGGCAGCGTGTGCCCGGCCAACTTACGGTGCTCAGCTTGCTGCAGCAGATGAGGATGCGCCGCTCGTACAACATGCTGGCGTACAGGTGCAGCATGGTGTTGACGTCCACCGCCACGAAGTACTCCGTCAGGTTTCTCTAGGGAGCGAGAGAGAGAGAGAGCTTGCATTCTGGTGCGGCAACGGGCACAGGGGGCGGGCGACGGGACAGGGCCTGCTGCTGGGAAGGGATGGGGGCCTCTCCTGCCGTTCCCGGGATGACACCCACGCTGCTCCTCCAGACGCCTCCTCGGAGGGCGGGTTGCAAAGCGGCACAAGGATGGGGTCTTCTCCGGGATGGACCAGTGAGGCCCGCCTGCACCAACACAGCTCCCTTGTTCATACCAAGGCAAGGCTTCCTCCCCCTCCTCCTGGGCATCGGGCCCCCAGGGCAAGAGTTTATCATTTATCTGTTTATTTAAAACGATTTTAGACTATCCCTCGCCATAGTCTTGGGACGGTTAAACAATAAGATAAAATAGAATAAAACACAGCATCCTTTAACTCGGTCCTGATGACAGCTTAAAACTGTTTCAGACATACAATACTGTCGTTATTTGTTTTTCAGCGCCAGGCTAAGACCTCTTTATTTAAACAATATTTTAATAACATTTAATATTAACTATAGGTTTCAATTTGCAGCCGGAAGGAATCGGGTTTTTAATTTGTATAATCTGTATTTTTGTAATCTGTTTGTTTATTTATTTTATTTTTCAATTTTATTTTTCAATTTATATCCTGCCTTTTTCCTACAAAGGGCTCAAGGCAGCTTACATCTCCTCCTCCATCTTATCCCCACAACAACAACCCTGTGAGGTAGGTTGGGCTGAGAGGCTGTGACTGGCCCAAAGTTTAAGCGACGGGACGGCATACAAAACCTCTAAATAAATTAAATAAATTAAATAAATAAACAAAATACAAGCCTGTCTCGGTGTGTTGCACGTAAATACTTTTGATGGTGTGCTTCTAGGCTTTTAATCTTTGCAAACTGCCCGGCAAGCTCCAGCTCCTGAGCAGTACCAAAAGGAATGGCTTGCCCAGCGTGAAGCAGAACGACCTGCAGTCTTGGGGAAGGGGAGCTCTGTCCCACTGCCCGCAAGCACCCCTTTCCAGAAAAACCTTAGCGAGGCCTGTGGCGGGCGTAAGCTGCCATTTCCAGAGCCGCTCCAACTCCGCCTGCTGGGGACGTGCCAACTCACAGGCGTCGCACAGGTGACACCCCCCAGCGACGCAGCAGAATGGGGGGGGGGGCGTGTGGACCCTGGGGTGGCGAGTTTCGGGGAAGCGGCCCCCTCCCAGTGGCCAGGCAAAGCGCGAGCACAAGCAACTGCATTAATGAAAACACATCCAGGCTCATTACGGATTCAAGTGGGGCCTTAAACCTTTAGAAAACGGAGTAAATTGGAGAACATGAGCCTGCACACACCGACTCATTTATGTACATCCCCCAAAAGATGACAAAGAGCAAAGAGGATTCAGAATCAAGGAGATGCCCAGAGTGCTTATTACCACTTTTGACAGATCCAAAGTTAACGCTAAAAAAACCCAATATTTGGCCCGAGAAATTTGCCAAGAAGCTTCATACTGTGCAGAAATATGTTCCACAGCTTTGCTGGCCAAATACAAAGGGAAAAGCTACAGACAAAAAAATTAAGCATGGCCTTTGTAAAGCTCTGTTGTGTTGTGTGTGTGCGTGCGTTTCTAAAGACACAACAACAAACACACACTGGTTAATCAGGGCTGTGTCGGAATACTGGTGTTCCTCTGGTTTCCCCAGACAGCTGGAGGTAGGAAGGGCACAATCACGTGCAGGTAGAGGGAGGAGGGAGCGCAGAGCGAACAGATTTGATCAAAACCCCGCTCGACTGGCAGACCCGTTTTTCCCGTGGTTCTGATCCCATCTGCGTTTGCGTCTTGGAAGCCGTAGCGGCTGCTGCGTGGCCTGGCAGCGGTGGCGGAAAAGCAGCACGCGGAGGGGACACAACACACTCGCCCAAGTCATGGTGGGCGTGGATGGCAAAAGATCCAAGCACCTCTTGCACGGCGAGATGGGACACGATCCCTTGCGAGGTTCTCGCAGGGGGATCTGCGCGCAAGACCCGCAGCTCCCCCAAAACGCGGATTTCGGCGGAGCTTCTGCAGGAGAACTTCCATCTTGTCGCTCGATGTCCTCCATGTGGAGCCACCAAGATGGCGCGCTGCCGGTATCTTCAACCAGGATCGTTCGGCTGTGCTCGGGACTGTGACCCCCAGCAGTCGCACAGCTTCCCTAAATCAGTTATGGGGGCTGCCATCTAACACATCTGCGGGTGTCAGAGTGAGGAAGTGGGCACCACGCATGAGGACAGGCTGACTTGGAGGCACGTCCCGTGGCCACGGGGGCTGAGAACCCCGGCCAGAAACGAGTGCTCCAAACGAGCCACGGCAAAATGGAAAGCTTGGCTAAAAGAAAAATAAGTTGACAGAAGGAAACGCAGGAAAGGACTTGAGTGCTTAATGGGGTTTTGATGAGCTTGACAGCCGTTCTCCGGGACACTCGATGTAGTGACAAGTCCAGAAACTTTACAACAGTGTATTTCCTTTCAGCAGAACGCGGGCACTCCTGGGAGACGGGATTAGCCGGTGTGCGGAGGGCCAGCGACGGCCACGAGGGGAGCAAGGAGAGTGGCCCAACCGCCTGGAAAGCTCCGGCAGCTCGCACCCAGACAGCAGCAATGGGAAGCGGAGCGGGCAAACGGCAGGGAGACTGCCAAAGAGAATGGGCCTACTTGTGAGGAGCAAACACCCAGGCTGACGTCTCCGAAGAAGAGGGTAAAACGGAGCAGAGCAGAGCTGGTCTGCTGAGGGAGGGTGCACCGAGCTCTTGTGAGAAAAGTGTCTTCGAGGGCGAGGAAATGCCAGTGCATTGGACTGCCCAAGATGGATGGTCTCCCCCTCCCAGCTTCTTTACGCCATGTGAGAGAGACACAGGCAAATACGCAGGCTGGAAGGTTAGGGTTGAAGGTTAAATCTTATTTTAGTGGAACCAAGCTCGAAGGATCAATGGACAATAAAAGTCAAAAATATGCCAGGCGCCATCTCCCGGAAGGTTCTGCTCACCTGCTTGGCTCTTCGGTCCTTCCCTGCGGCCACAAAGGCCATTGCAAAACCCGGCGACTTTGCCCAGGGCGAGTCTTGGTCTTAGAGCTGCCAGCGGCGAGGGGAGGAACCACTGCGCGAGCTCAGGCGTCTTTGCACCGGCTGCGCTCGGCACTGTTGCGGCACAGTCAGAGCAGATGCAAAAAAGACGAGGCTGGGAAGAGCCCCGAAAGGGATAAATACGGCAGAAGAGCTGGCAGTCCAGCAAAAACACAGTCCGAGTCCCTGCATTTGTCTTGCCTGTTCTTCTCTTTGCTCCGAGAGACACACAGGCAGCGCTGAACGGAAGCTTGCAGAGTGCGCGCACACGCAAACAAAAATCGCATCTTTAAGACACGTTTGTCCCAAAAAAACCCCAATGCAGCATTGCACTAACCCTCCGTTCCCCGGCCCGACGCATGCGCGTGCTCCCCCTCTCCGAAGGACGGTGCCTTCGGCCAGCAGAAGCCCCCTTTTCCCCACACCCTGAGCATGCAGCTTTAAACTCCTTTCCAAGTCTTCTTGGCCCAAAGCCTTCAGTTTTATAGCATCCTTTGATTCACAGGCATTCAGAAAGTCTACAGCGTGAATGTTATGGGAAGTTGAATCATACGCTGGGCCTCCTGCCAATGAGTCCTGGCAGACAGAAGAGGCACCGGTGAAGAAGAAAAAGAGCCTATGCTTCTGAAACCAACATGTGCACGCAAACATGTGGTACTGAGCGCAACCAGCCACAAGGAGCATGAATGGGGGGACTGGAAGGGCCTCCATTCCCTCCCAGCCGGGATAAAAGATTATTTTTGAACGCTCGTCTAAGCGGTTGCACCCATGAGCTTTCCGCCTGCACAAAGCTACTCCCGAGGAATCACAGTTGCACGCGGGGTGGACCGATTTAACACAAGGTCACTCTGGCTTTTCATCAGCAAGAGCAACGCCCAGTTTGAATCGCTGCTTTAAATCGAGCCTCCCATTTAGACTGGCTTCTGCATTTCCCAAACAGTGGAGCTCATCTGTTAATTTAAGCAGTTATTTTACTCTTACAGCTAGCCTCACATGTCTTAGTTTCGCTGCATATTTTCTTCTTTTTACCTGTACAGACTACGGCTTAAAACTATTCCCATGAGGCCCTTAGGACCAACACCCACGTCAGCCTGGACCGCCTGTGTGTGAAAGGCACCAAAGGGGAGGAAGCCGGGGGGACGTCACCCAAATCCTTTGGAGGCCCCCAGCCAGGAAAGGCCACTGCTTCACGGATGCTGATCCACTGAGCCACATCTTTTTCAGGGTTAAAGCCCTCAGAACAGGCAGAATTCACGCCCGAAGGGTGATAGGAAACATCAGAACGGAACAATCAAAATTGTCATGTCCCTCATACAGGACTGCGATCCCAAAACGCTTTCATGGATCTTCTGGCCAGCGGATCCCTCCCTCCTCTTTCCTGCGTGATTTCCCATGATTTGCGTACAGAGATGGTGCAGTACAATGACCCTGGACAAACTACTCACGTTTTCGGGTATGCTGGGAAGTTCTCGGATGTCGGGAACAGTGAAGTAAGAGTGCTGGAGAAAAGGGAAGAGATGGAGGAAGCAAAGGGTTGGCCTCGTTGCACTGTTTTCCATGGATTTAAAGCATTTCTATCCTGTGGCTTCTTTTGCTTGAAATGAAACTTAAAACATGCACTGTTTTATCAGACAGACCCTGAGTTTTCGCCCTTAGCCGCTCATGGTGCCGACCGTTCTGCTTCCAGAGGATTGGCAGAAAAGCGGTAAGCAGGCGGGCATCCAAGAGTTCCTGGGGGGAGGCGGAAGGCAGGAGAAGCAGCCACCTTGGGCTTCCTCTTAGACTTCCCCGCCATCTTCTACATTCCAGTTCAGAGAGAAGGTCCATTCAGCACAATGGGACCCGCTCCCCAGCACTCTTAAAAGAGCGAAGCATTCTCCCATTTTCCCATTTTAGATGAGCTGCTCTGGATGCGGAGACTGGCTGTGTCACTCACCACGCTGAGATGAACAGAAGTGGCCGGCTCGGGGATGGGCAATTTAAGAAGGGTGTCCAGGAGTTCATACCACTGGTTGTCCTGCAGGGAGGCAAGAGAGACAAGTTTTGGGCTAACATGTCGGTGAAACAGGGCCGAAGACGGACGGTCGGTCGGTCGGTCGGTCTCGGTCTCTCTCTCTCTC